AAATTAGATTTGTATGAAAACATTTGTAACCATACGGAAATATACATTTATATTAGGACTGCTATTTATAGCCATGTTTGATGATTTAACATTGATGTACGATGATCCGAAAGCAGAGTTTCTCATGCAATTCTAATCCCCCCCATAATGTGGTTGCAGATTTATGCTTATAAAACTCATTTTGGTTGTCTGGACACCAAAATAAGATCCGGAGTCGATATGAAACCCAACTTATTAATGAAATGTCGCTATTTCTGTTTTAATGAAATTTATCTAGTGCAGCTTTAACTTTGGATAATAAACTCATTTTTTTACAGATTAACCCCCTTGTTTATATTAATCAGAACTGATAGATATAAAAAAGATGTGCAAAAAACTGAAATTTGATAATGACATGCTCATTAAAGGCACTTTATGCTTGCAACCTTAAGAAAGTAGCAATAACTGTGAAATAATTTGTTAAAAAAATTAGCGAAATGTAAACAAAGTAGTATTTTGACTTTCATACAAAATACTAATTCACTATAATTATATGAAAAGCAAAAAGCAACAGATGAAAAAGCTAGTTCAAGTAATTGTCCAATGTGTAACTGTTTGGATACTATAAAAGTACACCAAAATTAAAAAGCTTTTGAGACATAAAAATAAAAGTACTTCTGGGACATAATGGGCCTTTCACTGATTAATCCTAAAAGCTGTTAATGGCTATCATTCTTGATCTCACAGGATCTTTAACTCATTGAGAATTATCTCACAAAGGACAAGTTAAATGTAAGTTTCTTAACTACCTCTAATAATTGGTATAACATTTTCATTAGCTATGGTTTGAAGTATTTTCGGTGGGCCATACAAACTTCCCATACAACCTGATACAGATATACAAGCCAGCCAGCCACAACACACCAACAATAGATATCTGAAAACAATATTACAGACATAATTAACAGGTCAGCTAGCCACAGTTAAGAAACAAATAATAATATTCAGGTAACAATTAAATTACACAAGCAAAATATTTGTTTCTAAACAAAATGTTCTTAATATGTATAAAAATGTAACCCTACCCCATTTACTTTAGATCCTAATTTTACCATTTCCCTATCTAAAATGCCTAATTCAAAATATCCCTAAAATTTACCATAATGAGGGGCTGTTTTCAAAGTTTGCCTAAATTTTCTGAAAGGTATATTGGTTGATCATGCGAAATATAGAATACTTTTACCGTGTAGTTTTTATTTTAATAAACTTTGAAAATATCTTGTATCATATTTGCTATAAATTTTGGCATTATTTAGCAAATAAATACCTACAATAATTATATGATTTAAATCATACCTTCTTTTCTTCCACAAAGGATCAGAGAGATACATAAATAAATGTTAAAAAGAAAAAACGAAAGAATAAAAAGTTTCCCCTTCTGTGGCCTTCGTGGTTAGACTTTCTAATCCACAGGGCGACAATGCGACAGTGCGATAGTGCTATGACGACAATACGACAGTTCGATGACAAAAGTGCGATATTACGATGACAATAGTGCGACAATGCGATGACGACAGTACGATAATGCGACAATGCGATTGTGCGATGGTGACAATGCGATAATGCGATGGCAACAGTGCGATAACGCGATGACGACAGTGCGATAATGCGATGGCGACAATACGATAGTGCGATAATATTATCCCGTTGTCGCCATCGCATTATCGTACTGTCGCCATCGCACTATTGCATTCTCGTCATCGCACTATGGCACTGTCGCATTATCGCGTTGTCGTCATCGCGATATTGCACTGTCGCCATCGCACTATCATATTGTCGTCATCGCGTTGTGACATTGTCGACTATTGCCTTCCGTTGGACTATTATAAACTGCTTACGAATAAGCTGACGGTTTAGAACTTAGGATAATAATTTTACTTTTGTCAATATTTTTTTTTCTTTTTGTTTTGTTTTTTGTTTTCTTTCCTTTTTTGTTTGGTTTTGTTTCTTTTTTATACTGAAAACGTCTAAATAAAATGATAAATTGATAAAAAGTAACATTTTATATCGAAGAATAGGTGAAATCGATACTTAAATTGAATTAAATTCTTATGAAATACACGAAAATGTAATAAACTGTGAAACTTAAAAAAGTCGACAGATTTCAGATGAAAATGATGTTATGTTGACATTTTAAAAATGCAAAAATATTTAATATATCAGTAGTACATAGAGGATATTCAAGTTTTTCTCTATAAATGCAGGATTTATTTTTATCGAGTGGTATGAAAATAAATATTTCATGAGTTGCGCTATTATTATATACATGTATTTTTTTCTATTTTTGACATTACTGATACAATGTGATAGTCTCCGCCTGAAATTTTGTATATCGAGTGAATCTAGAAGAAAGTAGTCCGGCAAGACACATGTGAAAATACCGAAAATATGTTTCACGGCAGTCAAGAACAAATTTTACAGTTTAAATGAAAATACGCATTTCATTTCGAATTCATAAGTTTTCTCTTTAATTCTAAATATAGTTCATAATAAATCTAATTGGTCGGCTTTGTTTAATATAAAAAATACTGCTTTTTCGTTAACATTTTTGATTGGTCATCAGTGGCTTTATTATTTTGTAGGATGTAGAAATTAATATAATATACTAACAGTGAAACAATAAGAAATGTATGTTAAACTTAATTTTCTCTGTAATAACTATCTAATATAAGTGGTCAGCAATTTTACTATAACATTAACTGTAAGTCAGCAGATTCTTCTATATGTTTGACTGGTCTGCAGATTCTACTTACGTTAAAGTGGTCAGCAGTTTTTCGCATGACGTAAAATCTTCTGATCATAAAGAATAAGAAGAAAATACGGCAAAAACCACACGAGCAAATTCTTTTATATTTTAGTTTCTCAGCTGTGGTTTGATTGGTTTGAGAGATGTAGAATCTATTATATTTACTAACATTATTCTGGCAAAAGAACATATTTCTCTACATATCTAATTGGTCAACTGTTTTCCCTGTTAGTGTAACTGGTCAACATATTTTACTATATGTTTTACCTTTTACATCATATAGACGTGTTTTCACGCCTTTTCATCTTCCCTTTTGATGCCTCAAATAGTGAAAACTATGCTCTATTTATCAGATACATCGGGGTGCAAGAGAGGGGGGTGCTCTCTTCTGCAGGGGGGGGGGGGTTGAAGGGGGGCTGCCGCCCCACTCAACTCCAAGAAAAATTTGGACTTGTGAGAGTCAAAAAATGGCATCTTAAGGTAACGTGTAACCAACGCTGAAAGCCCTTCACTCTATTCCGACCCATCGGGAAGTTACAGCTTTGATGGAAAAAATTAACACAACATAGTGATTTTGAAATGTCCCCTCGTTGTCATGGTAACTGGAAATTAAGATACAAATGCTATGGCTCAGTACACATTTGTGTCAAGTTTGATCAGTATTAAAGCATTTTTTCATAGTTTTTATAGATTGATTGATTGATTGGGTTTTACGTCGCACCGACACAGTATAGATCATATGGCGACGTTCCAGCTTTACTGCTGGAGGAAGACCTCAGGTGCCCTTCCGTGCATTATTTCTGGCACGAACTGGTACCCGAGTAAAACCACCGACGTTATTGTTTCATATCAATTTGAACTTGTGTAACAGGGTTTTGTTCCATAAAAACAGCCATTTTTCACAAAATGCTTATGTGGTCATAGGTGAACTGGTCAGCAGATTCTACTATACATGTGTACCTAAAGCACCGTACGTTACGTTTGCTGACCATATAGTATTAGAAGAAAATATGGCATGAACCATAAACCAATTTTTACTAACATTGCAAAATAAATTAGTACTTCACTGCAAATATCATTTTCCTCCGTTCATAAGCAGTTTCTCAAGGTTGAGCTAAAGTCACTTTGGTCTATATAAAACAAGTGGACACAGAAATCTAGTATATCTTTAATGTTTTTTTATTTAATCATATTTATTTACTATCTTTAAGAAATATAACAGCGCTATGTTCACCGAGCAACAAAATTGGCTCCATCTAAGGTATTGGTAAAAATCTAAAGAAGCGTCATTTTGATAGGTAGATGGTTATTCTTAATCCCCCACCCACTACCAACCAGTGGTTATTCGAATTTTGCATGTTTCCCTTTTAATTCTTTTTGCATCTTTATAATGTCAACATCAGATCATTTTCATCTGAAATATTTCTATTACATTGTACACAATTTATTACATTTTCCGTCTATGTATAACTCTTTCAGTATAAATATATAAAATGTTTCTTATTAATTTGTAATTTTATTTAAACATTGTTAATAAAGAGAAAAGAAACAATCACAAATATGAAAAAGAGGAAAAGAAAAAAAAACAAGAAAAAAAAGATTTATTTACAAAAGTAAAATTATCCCATATTCTATACCGGCAACATATTCGCCAGCATTTTAGAACCGTCCACCAGAAAGCGATAGTCGACAATGCGACAACGCGATGACGACAGTGCGACAGTGCGATGACGACAGTACCACAATGCGACAGTGGGATGACGACAATACGATAGTGCGATGACGACAATGCGACAGTGCGATGATGACAGTGCGATAACATAATCGCTCTGTCATCATCGTACTATCGCGTTATCGCATTGTCACCATCGCACTGTCGCATTGTCGTCATCGCGTTGTCGCATTGTCGTTATCGCACTGTCGCACTATCGCATTGTCGCCCTCTGTATTTTAACGTATAACCACGATGACCCTAACAGTATTCCGTAGAAACTATAAGGGGGCGTGTGGTGAACAGCTATCTCCTCCTCAAACTCGCCAACTTTTGCTATGATTATACAAGTTTAAATATATGTCTTTAAATAATGTACTTTAATGGAAGATATTTTTAACTGTGAAATACCAAAATATGTTTCTATTTATAGTCAAAAATGGGTTTCTGATCAGATCACCTTAGAGACAGGTAAATATTTTTAATATTATTATGTTAATATTAGATTACTTGTATTTACAAATTGGACTTATATGTTGCTCCTCAGAAAAACAGTATATTTTAAACGGAAAACTTCTGGAATTTTCTGAAATATCAATAATTTTGCAAAACTGCTGAAACTTAATTTTCTAAGTCTACAAATGTAAAATTGTTGGAAATGGGTTTACGGATTACACACTATTCTGAACACCTTTTCAAAGGACTGATCGTTTGTAAGACAGACAAACTCATTAGACTAGTCTGGTAATTTTCAGGAAAGCAATGATGATGCAACGAAATCATCGTTAGAAAAAGGTAAAACCTGTTTTATCATATTTCTCGTTGCATTAACTAGATGTAATAGAAACTGTTTCTTCTATTTCTTTTAAATGTATGTATATAACTTTGTCTTTGTCCATAAAATGCTTATGTTGCAAATTTGGTCTCAAAGTATCAAATTAAAATTGAATTTATTGTTTACTCTACATTGACATCATTTTGGACAATTAAGATTAAAAAAAAACTTTATGTATAAATATCTTGTTTTTGCTAAAAATGATTATCCCTTTTTGTAGATACCCAATATAATATATTTCAACAGATTTATCTACTGTTAAAATACACAGTATTAAACTGTTCCTCAAAGTTGTAATTTACTTTACTATTTTGTAGCTACATATGGATTTTCAAAATTTTCTGTGTCATGCTTAAATTTGCCTACGAATTATTTATCAGATGTAAACATTATTTTGATATTAAATATATCTATCATTGTTTTCCACTACAATTATATCTAATATACTATGACCTTACATTTAAATCAATGTCTTCTCTATTTTATTTTACACGTAATTCATTGATTATTTTTAGAAATGTTTATTTAAATAGTGTATCGTGTGATATATTTAGCTGTAAAATTCCAATAGCTGTATCTATTTATAGTGATAATAGTTTTCCGCTCCGTTACTCGTGTCGAACTACAAAGCGAAAGGTAGTAGAGCGTCAGTTACTATTTTAAAATAACTCCTTGTGTAACCTTGTTAAACTCACTAGATTATAAATCTTTTAATTTCACTGTAACGTATAAGATACATATGTATAAAACCCGGCAGATATTGAAAGAGATATATAGATTGGTCATTGTACTTTGTCGAGAAACTTAGTCTGAAATAGGTATGAAATTAACCCATTTTATACATATCACTCAATTTATTTCCTCATGAACAATATGTCATGAAAGATACCCTAGCATAAGATGAATAATAGGACATTACTGTTATATCAGCGGAATATTTTATAAACTTGAAATTGTCTTTTTTTGCCAATTTTAACTGTAATAAAACCTGGTTTACCTTAGATAATCTTGGTTGTGCTATTACCTAAGATAATCCTGGTTGTGCTATTTATTCTATATAAAAATACTTCAAAAAACGTGCAGCAATAATTTTACTATATTGAACTATAAAAATGGATTATTACTGATACATTTGATTAGTAACTTTTGCACATTATTTTATTGATATTATCAACATTTGTATAAATTTTGCTGCTGAAATAATCCATACATATTTTTTTCTACAACAATAAAGAAACAAATAATGCTGTTAATATATATTAATAATGAGTTTCCTTATTACTTGTTCATTTTACAGATGGCAGACAAATATTATAGACTGGTTTGCTTTGTGGTAGATATTTGTGCTGATGTATTAAGGAAATATTTAGTAAAACTTGCAAAAACGGATGCCGGTAACACTTGTACATCAGTTAATGCATACCTATCTCACAGACATTGGGATGTGATGCAATTATTATATAACAAAAAGCTCAGGAGAGATCAGTATAATATATTGTATCCTGCTAACGGCACCGCTGATGAAAACAAATGGGACATCTCAATACTGGTAACATTGATAACAGAACTTTTTGCCGCACGCTTGCAGCCACTCGAAATATTCGCGTTGAAAACTGAAATTCGAGAGATTCGTAATAAGTTGCAACATCACCCAAATACTGACAATATTTCGGATGATGACTTCGATGATTATTGGGAACGATTGGACTCTTCTGTTAGGCTTTTAGCAAAGAATGCGCTTGATCCAAATGATGAAGCATCCTTACTAGGGAAAATAAATCAGGTAAAATGTAATCATCTACCGAATCTCGGTGAATGTTTACGTATTTGGCATGAAGAAACCTCTAAGCAGTTGTTAAACATTATGAATGAAGTGCAGGCAAATGCCGAAGAAACAACTTCCATTCTCAGACAAGTGACCGTCCAGAAACCAGGACCTTCAGGTGAGCTTCAGTAATCACACATCAACTTAAGGTTTATATTGCAATGTACCGTATAAGTACTTTTTTCTGCGGGAACTTTATTTCTGCTATTTCTGCGGTTTATAACGACACCGCAGATTTAATCAAAGCACTGAAAGTACTGGAGTGTCGATTGTGTTGTGAAATATATAACCTTTCACAGCCTGAGTCTGTTTATTGATTACGCCATTTATTTTCGTTGCAGATAATGTACAGTTTGATATTTATTCAAATATTTTAGTTCTATTAGACCTTTCTCTAAAAAGAATAAAAACAGATCTAGATGACATAAATTATAGGTTTTTACAGCAAAAGTGTGCCTTAAGAAAGATATTGGCACACTTATTAAAATATTGGCCCAAAGTTAATGCCGTTCAAGTATACCGGTATTGTCTTAATGAACACTTGCCCTGTATCATAACCTTTTTATTGCATTTGCACCAATGCTGCCCTGTATTTTAATCTCATCAAAATTTGAGACTTGGGCAGCCCTTATACTCCATATGTGATCACATGGCCCCACCTGGGCGGCCCATGTACTCAATATGGGCCCCATATGGGCAGCCCTTGTACTAAATATGGGTTTCGACTTTTAAATAACAGTGTTCTCACTCGTGAGAATAATGTTTTTACAGCTCACTTGATGATATAAAATTTCATCTTACACACTAACAAACAAATATCCTCTATAGATTTGCATTTTTTAAAAATAAAAACATGTCTAGTCACTTCCTTCATTTGCTTCAGGTAAGGTCTCGGACACTTTGTTTCTTGCTTTCCTTCCCCCATCGCGGTCCCACGCCCCAGCCAGCCACTTTGAAACCTTTATTTCAATATCCTTCCTCGTCGCAGTCTTTGTCGGCAAGTTCCTTTGGACACATTCTATAAAACAAGCATCCTTATCCTTAAAGAATGAAATGAAATGCAGTGAAATGTAGGTATTGAAACCATTCAAAGGTCATAAGTCACCTTGTAGCATTTTGAGCATAAAATTGGAATATAAACTAATTCTAGTATGTTTTAACAAATATAGATGTTTGTGTCCCGGTTTTACATAGCTTTTAACAATATTTCTGTGATATCGCTGCAGTCAGTTGTAAGCTGAGATCATCTTATCGGTGTATCAGTAAAGAATGTTAAGGTAAGCAAATAACTTGCTTTACAGGAAGGTGATTTCTGCTTATATTATGCATCACAACACAATGCATGGGATCAAAACCACACAGCATGTAAAATATTCTCTCTTATTAATTTCCATAAAAGCTAATCAAGCATTTTCTTTCATTAAAGCGATACCTGAAGACACAATAACAAGATCTTGGATAATATATCTATTTTGAAGCCTTACTTAAAGACACCACTTTGCAAATTCGTAATATATCACTTACTATACAATACATTCAGTATCTAGAGGCCCCCAAATGTTTTCTTCCCTTTCAGCCCCCTTCATATTGAACATTCTTGCCAGTTCATTTGACATGGTTTCTATCATCTAGCGGTCAACAGTTTCCCGCACAACTGCCCCACCAAACATTGAAAGGAACCGCACCTTAAATAAAGCAGAACATAAACTTTTTTAATGTTAATTTTAACACTACTAATTTTCAAAATTTGTGATGCGCTGCAAGTCACCAAATGACAAATAATTGTCAACCTGACCTCAAATACATGATCTGCCAAGAAAACTGTTTGAATTGACAAATTAAAAGACCTTTCCTCATATATTTACAGCCTAAGTGACTTGTGCCTTTTTGTTTGTCCCCTCCACCGAGTGTAATGGGGCACATTATCATTGTTGTTTTTTTAACACGAGTTTATACAGTATGAACAGAATCATTTTTGATATTATAATAACAGCTCAATTCCTGGATTTTGTGGGTACTAGTCATTTTCCTGGTATTTTGAAAGCTGCCAGCATTTTGATTAATGAATCGACTGTCTTGTCTTAATAATCAATGTTGAAAACGAGGCCAACTGCCCATGTCTTGTGCTCATGGCTATTATAGCATATCTAAATAATAAGATAACTGTTTCAATATGAATCAAAAAATTAAAACAAGCCAGTTTTTAATTCCGAAAGTAATGCAGTAAAGTGTTTGTCCACTGTGCAATATTTTCCTACATAAGTATAGCAGAATGATAATACATTATCATCAAGTGCTAACCACAGACCATTATGTTATTTTGCATTTAAGCCAGTGGATATGAGGTATACTTTTTTCAGTTACTAATGGTGCAATAATTACATGACTAACACTATGCTTACCACAGATGACAGCTTTGTCTGATCTCCCAGAAGCTCATCGAATGTTTCCATCTGCTAAGGAGAACGAATAGGGAATGAGATATCTTCAGGAAGCTGCAGCGGTTGGTCATCTGCTGCTGACCTTGACAACAATTGCTACATCATCCTCTTAATTTCACGATTCTCCTCCCGCATTGTCTCCAAGACTCAGAGAATCTGTGTAACAGCAGCTGCAAAAAAGGATTCATAATTCTAGGCTTTATACTTTTAGAGCTATGTGAATTACAAATGAAAAAAATCCAGTATTTTAAATTTTTCCTTGGCTTTAACAGTAATTAACGCTAAAATCTCAAAAGGATTGTTGAGTGTGCAAGGTCACAAAATGTGAAAATGATAAGAAATCATGAATTAAACTTAAAATATTTTTGAGCTAGGCATGTCATGGGGTGAAAATAAACATTTTTGACTATTCCAAGGACCGTAACTTTGGATAACAGTTGTGGGGTCAGACAAGAATAGGCGAACATTAATTCACATCATGATAAAGACTAACACAAGTAATCATCAATTTCTTTTGAATTTTTTTTTTAACTAGGGGCGTCATAAGGTGAAACTTTCCATTTTTGGCTGTGTCACAAGAAATTGCTCTTTATTCAACCAATAAAACTTAGCCGCTGGGCTCGCTCTAAACAACTCAGACGTTTCTGGAGTCATTCTTCCCTCTAGCAAACCCAGAATAAACAGCAATCGCTTCTCCTGTCGCTGGGCCTGATTTAATTCTTCCACAGAGAATCCCAACTGCCCAATTCTTGGGTGCCTGAACTAGATTTTACATCGGCTCCCTTATTATGTTTTTTCGCCGGTCGAGCTAGTAACCTTCCGGATGGCACTATAGGACCATCCGGTTGACCGGTGAATGAGGATTGTGCACTCGAGGATCCTTGGTTAGACAGTAAACTGGACTGACTTGATTTGACTTGCTTATCTGAATCAGAAGCTAATCCCCTCCTTGTCGTGACCACATTTATACCAAATTCTTCATCCCAGTGGCTTAATTTATCAGAGAATTCCTAAGGGATGTGTTGTATGACTTCCTTAGACTTGTTTACCGCTAAGGAGCTAAAATAAACCTCTGAACTATCGAGATTCATTCTCATAGTCCCAACTGCATAGACTGGTTTATCATTCTCGGTGACAAGAATAGTTTCATCTTGTTTCCCGTAGACATTAGTTCCTTCCATGACTGGCTTTCCAAGACCACCAGTAAACTGATGACTTTTACTAGTCAATGGTACTGCATCATCTACATCGTCAAAAAAGGACCACCGATTTTCATGGGCCTTCTTACAATATTTACATCCCCCACAAGTAAAATCCCCAAGTCGATTTCCTACATAGCTTCCCCTACAATGCCCGTCCCCATGAGGAATACGAGACAATGCATCTGCATTACCATGATTACGACCTAATCTGTGCAGCAGCACATATTATACTGAGATAGCTCCTCCAGCAATTCTTTCCTAGTGACACAATAATTTGTTTGCCTCTTTGTGAATCCATAAGTACCATATGCTTTTACTTTTTCCTCCCCCTGGACCTGTATTAACTCGGCACCTTTAGCCATGTTTGATGCATCTACATCTCAAATAAATGGGGTCCCCCAGGGTTGGTAAAGCCAATATAGGTGGTTTTGTTAAAGCTTCTTCAGAACATTAAAAATGCTCTTAGATTGCTCTTCCCGCCACAAGAAAAACAAATGGTTTCTTTCCAGTAATGGAATACAAGTGTTCTGCTATCATGGAGAAGTTCTTAATAAACCCTCTGTTGTAATTAGCTTAGCCCATAAACAGTTCCACCTCTTTCGAGCTTGAATGAACGGGTCAATTTGTAAGAGCTTCAATATCGCTTTCGGAAACGGCCGGGGTATCACCGCTAATTATCCTACCTAAAAATTATATCTCTTTTTGAAGAAAATATACATTTTTTGGTTTCAGCTTCAACCCATAGCTTCGAAATCGCTGAAGGGCTTCCCTCAAATTAATCAAATGATTTCTAAAGCTCGTACCTAACACAACAATATCATCCAAAAAGGCTAATACTGTCTTCCATGTTAAACCCCTCATTACTAAATTCATAATACGAGCTTAAGTAGCTGGTGACCCACATAGCCCAAACGCCATGCGCTTATGTTGAAATAACCCATACTTAGTAATGAAAGCGGTCTTTTTCCGGTCCTGTTCTCTAATCGGTACCTGCCAAAAAGCCGAATTAGCATCTAATTAAGAAAACCAGATACTGCCCGATAAAGTATCTAAACAATCATCGATCATGGGCAAGGGAAAAACGTTATTCACGGTTTTCTCATTGATGCACCGAGCCATCTTTCCTCCGTATAAGCACCAAAGCCGAGGCCTTATCCGAATTTGACTCTTGATTAACCCCTGCTTTAAGCATTATATTAAGATGAGCCTCCTCTTCGCCAGCGTGGTATTCGCCGCATACCCTGCTTAATCGGCATTGCATCACCCGTCTCAATAACATGCACCATAGCAGTGAAATTCCCAAGGTCAAACTCATCTTGCGCAAACACATCTTTATATTTTATAAGCAACTGGGCTATGTGACCCTACTGCTCTTTATCAATATGTTTACAGGATTGGGAATATAATTGCCCGAAGATACGGCGGTAAAACATAATGCTCTTTACCACTAAGATCAATGCTATTTTTACCTCATTATCTCCCCAAAAACTTGGACGTATAAAATATTCCTCATCCTCCTCCCCCACCTGTTTGACGTTAGATACCGAATAAACCCTCCCTATCACAGTACCCCTTCAATACGTTCTATATCCATCCGTGGGGTTTATGATACACATTAAAGGATCAGAGAAACCCTTTTCTAAGAACTCTAGGCTTAAAGGCCTTAGTCTGTTCTAGAGGTTCAATGATATACTAGTAATCGTTAATTGGGATCCATACATGAGCCACCGAATAAGGGGGAATAACTTTACGTTTTTGCCACAGTAACCCAGTAACACAGTAACACTGCAGGTGTACCCTTACTTGAATCAATATCTAGCGTTATGTGCATACCATCAAAAATCATGGGGCTATGCATGTAAACATAATGCTCCGCGTCCTTATCAAACAAGCCATAACAAAACCTATTCATGACTTGCGTAGTCACAAATGACTTCCGTATGCCACTAAATGCTTGTCCTGCCAAGCTAAGTAATCTGTCCACAAAATCATCAATCGACTCGCCCGGGTTCTGATTCTTTTGATGAAATTGTGCTTGTTCAGCATCTGGCAAAATTTGTTCACCAAATCTTGCCTCTAACTTATCATTTAGTGTCCTATTCGAGCGCCTCCCACCGTTCTTATGTAACATTACATAATAATCCGACGCTTTACCTTCGAGCGCCAAACATAACGCACCTAATTTCGCATCTAATGACCATTGGCAGCATTCCGCGTAACGCGAAAACTTTAAATCAAAAGCTTCACAACTGCCACGACCATCAAACGTTAAATTTCTGGGTAAAGAATTTGCATGTATCTTTGACCATAACGACCTTCCATAGTACGAGTTATAACCCTCTGTCATACTAGGAATGTTATGTTTAACATCAGGGGTTAGAACATCTACATTTCTTATAGACGGCATAAACTGCCTATAACACCCTGTCATACTAGGCCTGTTATGTTTAACAGGAGTTATTACGTCTACATTTGTAGCAGACAGCATTAACTGCCTAAAGTCAGATCGAATACCCCAGGAACTTTCGGTGTAGAAAATCTGACCACGAATACCCCAAACTACTCCCCTGAAACTTAGGCTTAATTTCTTGAGGCCGAACTACAGGAACATGTAATGTTCCTTAAGTCCCAGAAGGCCCAGCAGCTTTGCTTTCGACACTTTTCAATTTCGGCGTATCCGAATGATTAGACCCTGAAAAATCTTCCAACGACTTAAATGATCTGTCTGCCGAGTTGTCCATTTCCGAAACTGCATCGACTGAAGTTCCCTCATCGGAAGGAAACTTTCCCAATTTTTTTTTAGTGAAAAATCGATATTATCCAAATTTTCACTAGTAAAAGTTCTACGACATATTGCAGACAATATGTCTGGTGTTATATTACCACCAGCTTCCATAATCGACAAGAGAATGGTAGCTAACTTTTCACTTACCCCTGGAATTTTAGCCAGTTCATCCTTAGAAGCATAATTAATTGCAACTTTGGCATAAATTGACTCAATTTCTTTCATATCTGGAAATTCTTCAAACATCGCCATTTCAAATAATAAAGAAATACAATGTTGGTGAAAACAATTTATTTATTAAACTTCACAGACAATACACAGAAAAAACACCGGTTGAAAGTATCCCGAGATACCTTATAAAAATTCCCGATATAAAATTTAATTTATACCCAATAATACACAATATTAATTAATATCGTGCTTAAAATATTCCTCTGCAATTCAATTTAATAAATTGCTAGGTTTAGGGGGAAAAAATTGATACCGGTATACAATTTTAAGGGGAAAATACACGAGGAAAAAATGGAGGGAAAAAACAAACGACAAAAAATGACGTGGATTCTCTCTGGTAGCGACAAAAATAAAGGCCGCAGCTAGAATTAAATCACCGCTGCCACCATTATATTACAACTATAATGGTAAATGGGAACTTTCTTGTTTCCAGATTTTTTTACAAAGTTATACGCAATGGATGCAATCGGATAATTCTTCAAAGCTTCTGATGCGTTCAATCTGTAGGAAATACAGATTAGAAGGGGCAGGAACACTGCGATGTCACTCGTGCATCACTTCCGGTTCAGGTCAGCCACCACTATTGAGATTGACGGGCAGCTTCCACTACAGTTATTACTTTTTGCACTTTTACTACAATATGGATATAGATACGTTAATCCGAGTAGTGTTGTGGTTAGAGAGTTCAGATTATGACATGTTTGAAGAGTTCATGTGAAGAAAAAGCTTCTTCTTCCAAGTTCAAATCTGGAATTTTGCAATATTTTTATGTCTGTATGGTTTTTATTTTCAGAAAACATTTTCATATTCTCTTTTATAACCCTGTGATTAATTCAATATTTTGTACAATTTAAAGTTAACCTTAAAACGATTTAGCGAAATTGAACCATAAAAATTTGATTTTAACAGTCATCAAACAGATTGAAAAGAATTGTCAATTTAATTCTATTTGAAATTCTGAATTCATTTTTTAAACAATTTCGGCTCATTTGTATATTGATATCTTTAAATTTCTTCTATTCCACATTTATCACTATAATTACTAGTTGCCTCTAACTTTACTTGTTAAAGCAACTGCGTGTTAAACTGAATGTTCTGAAATAGAATTATATGAAATAAATTCACGAGGAACTAAAATCCGCTTCTTTAAAAAATATCTAAAAACAAAAAAAAATGAAAAGAAAGAAATGCCTTTTCGAAGGATCAAACCACGGTCTCTAAACTGACGAACGAAGCAAACACTCAACGACTACGCTATTACGCTGAACGGTTAAAAATGAGTAATTGTTACATTAAGTAGTTAAAGAA